TGAGTTACCTTGTCTGATAGCAGGTCACAGGACCTTCCTCATTCAAGATAATTCCTGCCCCATACCCTGGGGGAAGGAATGCTGCATAGATAGGCCAGAAAGAATCTGAATCGACAGGCCTTGCTGGGTTTCTTCATCTATTAGCACTGGATCTGTTTGGGTTTGGATATGAGGTGTCCAGAAAATAACTGCTGTGTGAGTACAGTCCTATTCAGAGGTGAAATGATTAGATTATGAAAGGTGTGACCTAATCAGTCCATCCTGGTTTGAATGGACTGACTGGGTGGTAACTGTAGGTAGGCAGGGCGTGGCTGAAGGAGGTGGGTCGCTGGAGGATGTGCCCTGGAAGGGCTCATCTTCCCTGTGGCCCCTCCCCTCCCTCTCTCTCTTCCCAGCTGCCAAGACCAGAGCAGTCCTCCTCCACCACAGGGTGCGGCCTCACCTTGGGCCCAGCTCAGTGGACTTGGCCTATCATGGATTCAATCCCTGGAACCATGAACCAAAAGTCCATGTTGTTCTAAGTTATTCGTGTCAAGAATTTTGATCACAGTGACACAAAGCTGATTAACACAAGAGGGGACACTTTTTTGTCTTATCACATTGATACATGATCGTTCATGCTTCAGTCCTGCTTGTGCAATGAAGCCTCTATAAGAGCCCAAAGGGACAGGGTTTGGAGAGCTTCCAGATAGCTAGCTGGACAGGTGGAGGTCACTGCAGGGTGGCACACCTGGAGGGGGCATGCAAGCCCCCAGCCCCTTCTCCTAGTTCTCACCCTAAGAGTCCTTTTACCTAGATCCTTTGTCATAGCCTTTATAATAAACCTGTAAGGTAGTAAGTGTTTCCTGAACTCTATGAGCCCCTCCAGCAAATTAATTGAACCTGAGCATGAGCTCATGGGAGCCCTAAGTTTAACGAGGGGCTCAGAAGCACAGGTAAAGTAACCCAGGGCTCAAAACTGGCACCTAAATTTAGGGGGGCAGTCTCGGGATGAAGCCCTCAACCAGTGGGATCGGATACTTCTCTAGGTAAATATTGTCAGAATTAAATTGAATTGGAGCTCACCTGACTGGTGCCTACTATTACAGAATTGCTTATTGGCTGGAGAGGAGAAATCCCCACCTCTTTTGTGGTCACAGAGGTCTTCTATGCTGATTATGGCATAAGAGCAGAGAAAGAATAGGCAGTTTGTTTTTCCAACACAGCAGAGTTAGATTAATAATTGTCCAAACAATGGCCCCTAATCTTTCCCCAGCTCCTGGGAATTCACAGTCTACCCGCAGCTGATTTAAGGCTCTGATAAGACCTGCATAGCAAGGAACCTTTTGATTTGGTCTAATCCATTGTCACCTCCCTTGACCACACAGCATTTTAGGTAACATCAACTAACATCCCTTGAACAAGTAAGTGTTCAATGGAACATTCCTTGGCTAAATTTTAGGTTTCTTCTGGTGTGTAGGTTCTTTTTAATTGATGGTCCCTTTGAGTCTGTGCTGGGATTTGGGATGCCTGGTTAGCTGTGGACCTTCTGGGATTTTTTTCTATTTATATATGACAGTGGAATGCATTACAAATCTTATTACACACACAGAGCACGATTTTTCATACCTCTGGTTGTATACAAAGTATATTCACACCAATTCGTGTCTTCATACAGGTACTTTGAATAATAATGATCATCACATTCCACCTTCATTTCTAACCCCATGTCCCTCCCTCCCTTCCCTTCCAACCCCTCTGCCGGCCTTCTGGGATTTGTAAGACCCCAGTCTTCTGCTTTCTCAGCCATTACAAGAGAACATGGACACCTGCTCTCGTGGCTAGCTGGGTGATTTTTTGACTTCCTATTAGCTCTTCCTTTTTCAAACACCCCTTTGCTGTTTTTATTCCACATGGCTCAGGTGGAGCTGGCCTCATCACTTGACTTTAGGGGCATACACATGACCCAGGCCTGGCCATCCTCTTCCCTGCTGTGACTGCTACTTTGTGGACATGTAACTCCAGAAAGGCAAATCAGAGATTTGCCTTTTTAAAAAAAAAAAAATTATTCTAATCTGTTATATATGACAGCAGAACCCTGGCAGTTTTGTTGGAAAGACTGGGAAAGAAATGGGGTTGCTGAGGTTGCTAAGTCAGTGTGTGATGGGGAAGGATGTCACTTTTTCTTCCATCTTGGAGAGATCCTGCCAGAGACATCTGAGGGGAAAGCAGTACCAAAGATGGTGACAAGCAGCTTCTTGAGAACATCACATGGGGTCCTGGATATAGCCAGTCCTAAAGCCATAACACACCCCAATCAATTCCTTTTCTTGAAACCCCACAGATAGTCCTTGACTTATGATGGGATTATATCCTCATAGAACCACTGAAAGTGAAAATATTTTAAGTAAAAAAAATGCATTTAGTACACCTAACCTATTGAACATTGTAGCTCAGCCTTGTTTGCCTTACACATGCTCAGAACACATTAGCCTAGAATTGGGCAAAACAATCTAAAACAAAGTCTATTTTGTAATAAAGTTTTGAACATCTCATGTAATGCACTGAGTAGAGTCCACTGTAGAGTATCTGTTGTTAACTCTTGTGGTTGCATGGGCAGCAGAGGCTCATTGCTGCTACCTGGCATCACTAAAGAGAATTGGCCTCACAACTACTAGGCTGGAAAGGGACCAAAATTCAAACTTTCTATTGAACGCCCATGACTTTCATGCCAACGTTAAAATCGAAAAATCATTAAGTGGAACTCTTGTCCATTGGGGACCATCTGCAGTTTGTGTTTGGCTTTCTAATGCTGTAAATGAAAACCTCACTCCACCAATTTTACAAGGGGCATGGTGAGAATCAAATGTTAAAGATTCCTTGATGACGGTTCCCTCCTGACAGAGTGTGGGCACAAACCCAGCTGCCAGGGAGGAGTGACGGATCACATGGGCCCCAGCAGGTGCAGGCAGTGCTTACCCCAGTAGAATGATGGACCAGGGGTGGAACTGGGGGACCCTGCAATGCTAAACCTAAGCGTACAGTCAGCCCTGACGGGCTGTATTCTGATATGACCTTGCTTCTCCAAGTGTGGTCCGTGGACCTGCAGTCCTGGCCTTATCTGAGAGTTCTTGGGAATGGAGAATCTCAGGCATGGCCCCAGATTTGCATTTAATCAGACTCAGGTGGTCTCTGAGTACATTCAAGTTTGAGAAGCACCATATGGGATAATTTATAGGAACCATGGAATCATTCAAAGGTGACCACCAAGGATTCCTTCCTCCTTGAACATATGTACTGCCCCATTCATCAAGAGGTGGACCACTTCACCTCCTTTCACACCATGACTTGGTTAGACCAATAGATGGGATGGAAATGGGGCTTTGAGTTCAGGGCCTGGTCCCTTCTGATTTCTTCGCTCAAAACCCAGCTTTGTATAAAAAGTCAGACTACCCTGAGACCCTCATGCTACCAACTGCATGGAAATGTCACTTGGAAGGGCCCAGAGTCCCAGGCATGTGAATGAAGCCTAGTCCAGCCCTGTCCACAGCTGAATGCAGCTGAATGAGCGACCTTTCCTGGTGTCACATGGAGGTGAGCCCTGTCCAAGTTTTTGAGCCAGAGAATCAGGAGAAGTAACTAATCTTTGCTGTTTAAGTAGCTGGTTTGTTATTTTTTTGATCTAGCAAAAGGTGACGGAGACAGTGAAACCTCTTTACTAAAGGAGGTGGCTGAGGAGTGGCCACCTGCAGGGTGTTCACATGCTCTGGGCACAGTGCGGAGCATTTTCCTCGGCCAGGTGCTGTTCTGGGCATGGGGTTGGAGGGGTGGAAAAGACAGCATCCTTATTCTGGTGGACCTGACATTCTTGTCCAGGGAGATGACAAAAGACAACACATAAACATGACGGTTTCAGAGAGATAAGAAAAAATTGGAGTGGGGGTGGGGAGGATATTAGGTAAAATACTGAGATTCTCTCCAAGGAGACACATTTGAACCGAGGCCCTCATGCTGAACAAAGGCAAATTGTAAATGGCTAAGAAGGGAAAGCAATGGCAGCAAAGGGAACAGCAAATGTAAAAACCACAAAGTACAGAAGCTCTGGGAGGTGAGTGAGAGACAAAGGAAAGCTGGGGGAGGGGGGATGAGATAAGAGATACAGTCACAAAAACCAGCAGGAGCTAGATAGGTGTAAGTCCAGTCTGGCAGCCCCCACCACACATGGCTATAGAATCTAAGTTAAAATTTAGTTTGAGCCCGGTGCAGTGGTGCACACCTGTAATCCCAGCGGCTCAGGAGGTGGAGGCAGGAGGATCGAGATTTCAAAGTCAGCCTCAGCAACAGCAAAACAACTCAGTAAGACCCTGACTCTAAATAAAATATAAAATAGGGCTGAGGATGTTGCTCAGTAGTTGACTGCCCCTGAGTTCAATGCCTGGTACCTGCCACCCCTCCCCCCAAAAAATAAATTAGTTTGAGTCTAAGGAAGGAGGATTGTGTTCACGGCCAGCCTAGGCAACTTAGTGAGATCCTGTCTCAAAATAAAAAAAAAAAAATAAAAAGGGTTGGGAAATATAGCTCAGTGGTAGAGTACCCCTGAGTTCAATCTCCAGAACTGCAAAATTAATTCATTAAACTTATTTAAATAGATAAAAACACAGCTCCTTGGTCTCATTAGCCACATTTCAAATGCTCAATAGCCACAAGTGGCTTGTAGCTGTCATATTGGACAGGGCTCCCATATTGGTCAGGGCAGATAGAGTACATTCCCCTGATTGCAGCAAGTTCCATTGGCCAGAACTGGCTTAAAGGAAAAATAAGAAGTTTTGACCTGGATCAGAGTTCAAGGTCAAAACATAAGCCCATGGGCTTGACACTTTTAAAATTTCTTGAGGTTCCAGTTTCCCTGAGGGTTAAATGAAATTCTTCCAGCCTAAGAGTGGGTTCAGATTATCCACAGTAAGAGGCCAAGTCCAGGGTCCAACCCAGGTCTTACTCATAAGAGATGATGAAAGCCTTACCCTCGTAACCGGCAGCGAAGAGCTCTGTTGAACTGACTTCTCTGCAACCTCATTTAAGCTGCCACTGCGGGGCTCCCTGATGTGAAAAAAAAGAACGGAGCATGGCTACTATTTCAGGGCGACATGCAGAAGGGAAATTGCCACAATTAGCCGAAGCTGATTTTGATTAGCATATTTTCTTGCTGGGCTCATAACATCTGTTGGTGTGGAAACAATCGCTCTGTCTTGTCCCATCAAAATGAGAGGCCTGGGCAATGAACCAGGCAGGCCCATGGGGAGTCCAGCGTCAGACAGGATAAAAGTCCTGGAGGGGCTTGAAATAATCTCAGTGGAACCAGACAAGTCAAAGCCACGGTCTTAGGAGAAGGACAAGAAAGGAGAATGCCTATCCTGCGAGCTGGGAAGCAGCAGATGGAGATGCAAGATATCCTAGGCGTTAGTGGGACCTGCTTCATCACCTAGTGCTTGCGACATCTCTCTAAGTACCTTAACCTTGGGGTGGTTACATAACCGTTGTTATCTGAGGAATGGGGACAATGGCACCCACCTGATGGCGTTAGGAAAGGAACACAAGAAATAATCTCTGGAGCCACATTTGGTATACAGCAGGTGCTCAGCTAATGGTGGCTGAATGATCATCTTGATGGAAAAGGGTCAGGTGAGAATAATGCATGAGCACAGGGATGGCTGAGTAGTGCCTGGGCTTGGCTCTTCCATCCAGTTCTTCAACACATATTTACTCTATGAATTGGCCCCATGGCCTTGGATAACTCCTTTAACCATTGTTGCCCACCTGGGGCCCAGCAAGGTGCCCTGGCTGATCTCTATAGCTCCTTCCAGCTCTCCCAGCCTAACAAAGTCCACATGGTCTGATACATCTGGATTCAAACACAGAAGGTAAGCAAGCCATTGAGACCCAGAATCCTGCAGTGGTTAGATTTGGAAATGGCCGTGAAAGGTCTTCTGGGCCAGCTCCCATCTTATGGTGAGAATTCCACCCCCCAGTTATGCTGACAGAAGGCCCCCACTTTGCCTGCATGCTCTCACTGCCTGTTCTGTTTCCAGAGCTCTCTATTCTTGGGGACCATTAACACAGAGCCTAGGTACACTCCATGTTTTTTTTTTTTTAAATGGGTTCCAATTGGCCATGTGTCTTATTTTTTTTTTAAGAGAGAGTGAGAGAGGGAGAGAGAGAGAGAGAGAATTTTAATATTTATTTTTTAGTTATCGGCGGACACAACATCTTTGTTTGTATGTGGTGCTGGGGATCGAACCTGGGCCGCACGCATGCCAGGCCAGCGCGCTACCGCTTGAGCCACATCCCCAGCCCCAATACACTCCATTTAATGTCCCTTTTAAAAGGTAGCACCCAGCACAGGACACCATTCTCAGTGTCTGTGTCTGTGACGAGCGTGAGAATAAACTACTTCATGGTGTGGTAGTAGGAATTAAGAGTGGTAACACACCTAATGGGCCTGGCACATAGTAGGTACTGTATTTGACCCCTCTAACTCTGGCCCACTTACTGTTCTTTTCTTCCAGAGGGGCCTAAGATGGGGTTTAAATGTCATCAGTAGGCCTAGGACCCCATTGATATCTCGGACCAAGCAGAGATCAACTTCAGCCTCACCACATAAAGAAAAAAGAGGGATGATCATGCCTCAGGGTATGAGATTCCTCCTCTTTCCCACCCTTCTTTCCTGTCTTTCACAATCAGGTCAAACAGAGTCTTCTCAAGATCAAGGAGGACCAGAAAAAACAGGATTGGGATTGTAAGTCAAGGTGTATGGTGCTGCTGTGTAGACCTGTAAGAGGCTAAACATGGTGGACACTCATGTGGACAAATGGGAAGAGGCCACAGAGGAGAGGCTGATGCCCCTGAGTTCCATCCCACCGTGAGTTGTAGAAGGGTCTTGGGCCTTGAAACACCACCCTCATCTAGCTCCTGGTGGCCCAGCTGGCAAGAGCCAGCATTCTCTGGTTGAAATAGCATCGTTCCCTGCCCTAATCCGGATCACCCTCTTCAATTTTGCCTCTTTTTGGTATTCAAATCCATTCACCTACTTCTTGTTAGTGTTCTGAAGCTCTCCTACCATCCCCCAAAATAAAAGATTTGATACAGCAGAGTGTCATAAAGAGATGGATTTAAAAGCAAAACAAGAGGGGCCGTCTACAGAAAGGAAAGGCCATCAAATGCATTTTGGTGAGGGGAGGGAAGGTGGCTTGTGCGTCCCTTATAGTACAGCTGCAAGGCTGCCTCTGCTCACACTGCTGTGGGGTGTGTCCTTGTGGCCAGTGGCCGCCTCTGACCTTGATTAGGGCTAGAAACAATGCTCCGGTGGATTTTCCACTAGAGAGCCCGGCCTCTGCCATGGAGAGGTTCTTCAAGCAGACCTTTAAGAACCGGTGCCCTTTGCCCTGAGAGTTGGTGCAGGTGGCAAACTGAGCCTTAGAGGTGACCTGAGTGCCCCCTCCTGCGGATGGTTACCCATCAGAAAGAGGCTTGGGGAAGGGGTGAATGTATCCCATGTGCCAGTTTTTCTAGGAAGCTTGGGTCTTGTCCTGCCACACTCCTGGCCACCAGTTCAGGCCACCTAATCCTGTGGTGAGTGTGAGATTCCAAGGCACTGTGCCAGCAGCCATTCTGGCCCTGTCTCCTTCCATGGACTGGGAGAAGTTCCGAATACTCACCAGGTGCACCTGATTAGGCAGCGGCAGGCAGCAGGTAGCTGGACTCCGTTGCAGAGGATCTGGGACTGCAGGCCAGCTCTAGGAGATTAAACATATGTCCTGAGTGGACTACATTGTGATGTCACACCACTGAGGTGGCCACAGAGGAAGGCCTTCTGTGGCTGCTAGTGTCAGGGATAGGGTGGAGTAGAATTGACTGCCCCCGATGGAAGAAATGAACCTGTGTGTGTATGTTCTCAGCCAGCAGCTTAGAGAAGCAATGAGGCGCAGAAAATATCAGCCCGGGAGAAACCTTATGAGACCACCCTGCCACCATTCGCTACCATCCCCACCCCTGACCGGCCTGGGTCAATTCCATTAAACCAAGCCTATCTTTTTTAAGTTTTCCCATACAAACTCATTTATGTGGATACCTCCAAGTTGGCACATTTAAAATTCTCAGCAGCTGTTATTTCTACTGAATATCCCTGACTTTTCCCCCTACTGCCCACCTGGTGTGGCCTCAAGACGAGCAAAAGAATTTAAATATTAGCTCAGGAAAACAAATAGGAACACAAATCCACCCTGTGTCCCCCTGCCATCCACAGTTAAATCCAACACAGATGTCTTCTAGGTTCTCCTCTATAGCATGAATGCTCTGGATCCTTTCTGTGGTTGGCATTTGATAATTAGGCACAGTTTATATTTAATAAGGCTCAAAAGCAAAGAAAAACCCACCAAAGGGGGCAAAATAGAAAACTTCTCCTTTTCCTTCTGGTGCTTAGGTTTGGAAGTAGGGGGTACTTTTTATTTTCTTTTTGGGGTGGGTGGGAAGCACCTCTGGGGAGCCCTTTTAATTTTGAGACAGAGTCTCACTAAGTTGCTCAGACTGGCCTCAAACTTACCATCCTCTGGCCTCAGCCTCCTAAGTCACTGGGATTATAGGCACATCACACCCAGCCAGGTTTTCCTAAATTTCAGAGTCTAAACAGTGGATCTCAAACTTTAGGTTACATAGGAATCATCTGGAGTGGTTGTTAAAATGCAGACTCCACCCTCAGGGATCCTGACCCCATAGATATGAGATAGGACCCACAAATGCACATTTCTAACTAGTTCTCAGATGACACTGATGCAGATAGTCCAGGGGCTACACTTTGAGAATATGTTAGGGGCGCCAATCTCCTGGTCTTGATCCTAAAAGGGTACTTCCAGTGATGGCAGTATTTTGAGGTTGCTGGGGAACAAACAGGAGCTGTGGCTAGAGGTCAAACTAGCTGGGTTCTCTGTGTTCAACCAACATGATTTATTGAGGCTCTATTTATTGCCAGGACTCAGACATTGCTCGGACCCTTCCCACAGCCTCTTTGCTGTGACACTTCTGAATGTAAAGACAGCCTGATTTCCAGCTGCCAGCGCCTGCATCTCTTTGCTTGGGGGCTTTCTCCAGCTGCTGGAGCATACCCTGCCTGCAAGTAGGGCAGCGAGTAAGAGCCAGAAATCTTAACCAATGAGTATCAGGCTCGAGTGAGTACATACCTCAGCTCCTTCCCTTCTCAGGTGGGATGATTTAGAGGTGTTCTGCTGCATGTCCCAGAGGTCCCCAAAGCATCAAGCCTTGGGTGCCCTCAGTGGTAACTAATTTGATAACACACTTTCTATTGCTGCTTCCCTCCCTTGTCTCAACTTCCCACTCCCTGGGAACAGCCCCCAAATAGACTTCTTCTACTCCAATCCTCATCTCAGAGAACCTGCCTTGTGAGGCAACCTAAACAAAGACACTAAGAATAAGGAATGGTGATTACCTTTGATAAGGTCACAATTAGAAGGGAAAGACACAGACCAGTTTAGAACAGTTGGGTGTTTCTGGTGATTGCAGGTGAGTGTCAGGTCTCAGGGCAGATGGAGGTGTCCTGCTGGCTGCCCTTTGGGTTACCGTCAAGGTTGCCCTGAGGAAATGCACCAGTTGATATGCTCAGGGGGCAGCCTGGTAGCCTGGCCAGAGAGCCTTTCCTTTCACAAAGGGGAGGCTGGGATATGCAACCTGCAGGACACAAATTTGAGACACCAATTCCTCCTGCCTCCCACTCCTCCCAGACAGTTCCTACTGAGATAAGAATAGGGAGGTAGAGCTTGTACCATCTAACATGTAGCTCTTGTTCACACTTTTAGGGAGCATGGGATGCTTGGAGAATCATTGGTAAGGGTTAATATGGTTTAGATTAGGTATTCCCCAAAAGCTCATGTGTGCAACAAGACAAAACTGCTCAGAGGTAAAATGATTGGGTTATGAGAGCCTTAACTAATCAGTGTGTTAATCATCTGGTAGGGATTATCTAGGTGGTAACTGTCGGCAGGTATGGTGAGGCTGGAGGAGGGGGTCGCTGGGGACATGTCTTTGGGATATATATTTTGTCCCATGTGGGAAAGCGCTCTTTCTCTCTCTCTCTCTCTCCTTCCTGGTGTTATGTCAATAGCTACTTTCCTCTGCCACACCATTCCACCATGATGTTCTGCCTCACCTCTGGCCCGAAGAATGGAGTTGGCTGTCTATGGACTGAGACCTGTGAAACCAAGAGCCTCCAAATAAACTTTTATTCCTTAAAATTGTTGTTATTAGGTTTTGCATTACTCCAAAGGGCAGCCAGCACAATACCCCCACCTGCCCTGAGACCTGACACCCAAGGGCCAAAAAGCTGAGTAAAACAAGGCTCTCAGCGGATCATGCTTTCCTGGTGACTGGCCCAGTGTCATGGCTATGCCCAGCCTTATACCTGTACTATGGCAGGATTGATCCACTCCTTCCCTTGTCTCAGCAGTAGGTCTTAGTTCCCACCCCCAACACCTTCCATATTCTCTTCCCCATCATTATCATCAGTCCTCCCAGAGTCTCCCCAAACAAACATACCACCCAATAAAAATGTGCATGAAAATACACTTCAGGGTATGGCATTATGTAAAAATGTGAATGTGTAACCTATGTGATTCTGCAATCTGTATTTGGGGTAAAAATGGGAGTTCATAACTCACTTGAAACTATTGTTCGAAGTATGATATGTCAAGAGCTTTGTAATGTTGTGAACAACCAATAAAAAAAAAAAATACACTTCAGGACCCGTTTTCTTCCACCAGACACTTCATGTACAGAAATTCTGGAGTTGCTACTGCATGGATTCAATGGCAGTTTGGCTGGTCACCATCCCAGATCATTCTTAAGGGACAAAGAACTCCAGGGTTCTTCTTTCCTCACATTTCGAAGTGGCTCTGGGAAGAATGAAGCCTGTCTTACTAACGCATTGTGTCAGTAACAATATCAACCTTTTCAGTCTCACCCATGATGTAAAAAGTAATTGGCTACAAACAGCCACAAGCTCTGCCTCTGGACAATAGGATCATATTCATGGAAAGAGACCTCAGGATGGAGCTAGAAGTAAAGGGAGCTTAGCTAGTATTTCTGTAGGCCAGGGATCACAGTGTCCACTTCATATTTTACATTGTCTTACACACATTTCTTGCCTAGGGGAACACTAGGAGGAAATACACTATTGTATGTAAAGGGTTAGTGTTTCATGGATGAGACTATAGACGTTCTTTCTGTATTTAACAAAAAGTTACCTATATGATTCTCTCTCTTAATATAATAAAGTGTTCATTTAAAAAAATTGCAAGCTACTGGAAACAAGTGCTGATGGTGGTCTACAACATACTATATTTTCACTGTATGTTTGTGTGATGAGATCCTATGGATTTTTTCCTCTGCATATCTACCAATCTAAGTCTTCAAGCTGGTTTCAAATCTCACATTCTTTACCAAATCATCCAGGCCCCTGACAAAATTTGTTCCAGCCAGCATCTTTCCATATATTGTTTGTTTATAGCCACATCAGATGCTCACCAAGGACTGTGATGAGATCTTTAATTTTTCTCCCTTTCTGCTCCTCCCTCCACTGCTCTCATAGACACCGAACCCAGAATCTCACCCATCCTAGACTGGGAATAAGTCTTTATTCTTCATATTTCCAACAGACTTTAACACAGAAATTTAGAGAAAATAAATCCAAGCTGGCACTATGTATAGTGCCACTACACAAATGCCAAGCAATCGTACAAATGGTTCCCTCAGCTGGAGGATGGTGCCCTCAGAGTCCCTGTCCCATCACGTCTATTTTGTGACCTAGAAGAGGTTGTCTCCTGAGCCAGTTTTCTTATCTTTTTAGTAGGGCTGATGGGATGATCGGAATGAAGATAATTGTGTTCACAAAGCCCTCTGCAAACTATTAAACATGCTTCACTGGTACGTGAGGTGTTCATATAATAAATCTAGACGATAGCTTTCTTTCTGACCTCTTTTACTACTTGCTCTTTACCACTTCTTGCTCACCATTTAGATCTCTGAAATTGTCAACCGTTTTCACCTCGTTCCACCTTCTGCACATGCTGTTCCTTCTATCTAGAAAGCTTCTGCTCCCATGTCTTCCCACAATGGGTTCCTTCAGATGATTTAGATTTCAGCTCAGTGTCACTTGAGGCTTTACCTGAACATCCTAAAATAGGCTCTCCCCACTATCACTTTCTGTCACATTAATCCAGTTCTTTTTTCCTTTTTTTAAATTATATTTTTAGAGATGGGGTCTCACTAAGTTGCCCAGGCTGGCCTCAAACTCCTGAACTCTATAGTGATTCTGTAGCTAGGACTACAGGCACATGTCGCCACACCCAGCACCTATCACTCCCTTATTAGTACAGTAGTTGTTCCTTTTCTGGGGGTGGGTGGGGTGCTTTCCATGTCCCACAGTGGATCCTGAATCCATAGATAGTACCAAACCTTATGTATACTCTGTTTTTTTCTTATATGCTCAGCTGTGTTACCACATAATACCATAGGTAATCATCCTTACATTTTGTATGCACAGGTGCTCCTTCTCATTATTATTCATGTGCTTTGGGGCCATTATTAAGTAAAATAAGGATTACTTGAATTTGATCTCTGTGATACTGTGACAATCCACCTGATAGATGACAACTAAGTGACTAATGAGTGGGTAGCCTATACAGCATGGATACTCTGAACAAATGATTCAGGCTTATGAGATTTCATTGTGCTCCTCAGAGTAGTATGCAAATAAAACCCTTATGAATTGTTTATTTCTGGAATTTTCCATTTAATATTTTTGACTCATAGTTGACCATGATTAAAGTGAAACCACTGTAGGGAGACTAGTATACTTGAAATTATCTTATTTGTTTGGTACTGATTGTCAACCTCCTACCTCCTGGTCTAGAGGAGTTTTGTCCGTTTTGCTCATTGCTCAAAAATCATGCATTGACCAAATATTTTTTTACAACATTGTATGTATTCAGTTCAGTTTTCCAACCATTTTTTTTGCAAAAAGAAGAGACTGTGAGGGAAATACTGTTCATTCCCACCCAGTGACTGAACGAATCTGCTCAAGACGTGCCTGTCGGCCACAGGTCTGAATGTTTGCCACCTTGGTAAGGCTCCACGTCAGCCGCTGGGTTGTGGGGAACTGGAGAATAAGGAGGGCATTGTGCTGCGCTCAAAGATGGATGCGTTCTGAGAACAGCTCAGGGAAAGTACCTCCCCATTAGACACACCTCTCCGGGCTAGGTGCTTTGTTCTCTTCTCCTTTCCTGTCTTTCCCCTACCAGAGCAAGGAAATCAGAACAATCCGCTTTACCTTTGTTCCTTGTAACTCAGTGTGCAGATTCTTTAAGGTTCTGGTGCTTGTAGACAAGCCCTGCCAGCACCACAGTGGAATTTTCTAACCCATGCCAAAGAGGGAGCTCATTAATTTTCGTGGCTGAAAGAAAACACTTCTTTAGAAATTGGAATATTTGCTCTGCTGAAGGAGGGTGCCCAGCCTCCCTGGGAGGAAGGTGGGTCCCTCAGGGAATCCCCCCACCCCAGCCCACTGTATAGTGTGTTGTTTGCACTGATGGCTGCCAACTGTCCTGGATGACTTGAGCAGAGACAGGAACACACTCCCTCTTTCCCTAAAGTGACCACCCAGTACATTTCCAGAAAGTTCTTTTGCCCTGTCTCTTCCCTTCTTTCTTCTTGAATGTTCATGGTTCCTGGAGGAGATCACACCCAAGTGTCTGCTTTTCAAATTGGAAAGCAATTTGGGTCAATTCCCCAGTGCCTGGACTTGGTGCCATCAAATAGCCAGAATATTTTACACAGTGGTAAGTAATTTAAAAACATTTTATGTTTAAACAATGTGTCTTTATAAATAGAAAATAGTGTAGAAGGAAAAACACTTAAAATGTCACATCAGAAGTTTGGAACTTCCCATGATCTTCTCATATTTTTATTGATAACTTCCCTTGTACTATATATATATATATTATACAAGGGAAGTTATAATATATACATATATATATATATTACAATAAAACTATTTCCATTTTGAGAATACCTGCTCCTGTGGATATATGTTAGAGAAGAATGGAATAATCACATGGGTATTTTAAGATCTATCTTAATGCCTTCCTGGGACAGATGCTTGAGGGGCCATAACCCCCTTCCTCAATGTCCACCTTCCCTTCCCTCTACCTTTAGAGTCAGTTTGACAAGAACGTTTGAGAAGGAGCTGCATAGTAAGCCAGTAAAACTTTAGTGTGAATTAGTCTTTCATCCTCCTCTCTCTCAATCATGCTCTTACATAAATATTGGCATCTAG